TACCTGCAGAGAACGGTGACTACCAGTCACTGCTCCCCGCAAGGATTCCCCCCCTCCCCTCTCTGATCCTCCAGCTCTGACAGAAGAAATGGACAGGGGATGGGGCGGGCACAGCTGGCTTTGCCTCTAGATAGGCAGAGCCCACTCACGCAGCTGGTTGGATCTTGACAGCATTGTCGGAAACTCTCCCGGGTGCGGCGCTCTCAGTATTTAGTGAGCAATAGCTCTCTATATACTGAGCTTTGGGTCATGGGAGGAAGCTAGTATATGTCCTCCCGTTACCCTTAAGAGAACTATGGGATACAAAGGTTACCCCATAGTTCTCTTTTAACTATCTGTCTTCTCTTTTCCAAATTATCTTGCCTATTCTCGGTTCACAGTCCTCCCCCCCACCTCTTCTTGGCACCTCCTAAAAGCCATAGGCCATGCTGTTTAAATTCTGATAATCTGAAAATAAAATGTAATATATTTAGCCTCACACCATCTAAATAAACCTGGCACATATTTGTCCTAACCACACATCCTATTTGACCTTTGAGGATTAGTACTAACCTGCAAAATAATGGAATGAGATATCATTGTTACCATCATTTTCATGTACACTTAGAATTGTACTGCATACAGCAAGAACCTTGAGTGCAAAAGCAAGTGAACTTTTCACTACTTACCCATCAATAACTAGGAAAATATGTTTACACTCATCTATCATATGCAGGCATGAAGGTAAGAAATCAATAAGCTTTAGATGAAAAGGGAGACTAAATAGAGACATTAAAGGGATGATTGCACTGCTGGGAAAAGCTACTTTTACAGGCTGAAAAAATGAATTCATTGCAATGGTCACTATAGGACAACGCAACCCATTAGTAATGAAACCAATAACCTTTTAAAGGCATAGAAGTAGCATGGCTTTTAAAGTCAAGTTAAATCTCGTTAGTTTTGATATTTTGCATTCAGTGGTTAACGACACACTTTTATTCTCTATTATTTTCCAAACGACACAAAATGCCAATTGGTCCATTGTTATATATGTTGCCATTTACACCCACCTTCTTCTACAATGATTGTAATTAATTTTCTTTGCAATATTGGCTTGTACAATAGAGTGAAAAATGCAGTAGTTAGTTTAGTTTAGTGCACACTTTACCACTGACCAACAATGGAAACAGACACTTGACCAATGCACACCAATATAAGGGGACGTTTCCTCCCTGTTCACCAATGTAAGGGGGCATACCAATAGTAATGAAGACCAATGTAAGGGATATATGTCTGCTGACCACCAAGGTAAGGGGATACCTCTCCACTAACCACCTATTTAAAAGGAACACTTTTCCACTAACCACCAATGCAAAAGGGACTTTTCCTACTGACAACACAATCTCAGTTTTTCTCTTTTTATTGAGCCCAATGGTTACCGTCTTAGCAATGCTCTTTGGTTTCTACTGCAAATTGACCCTTTCCTGAAATTCAGTGTAGAAGAAATCTATTGAGCAATAATTAAATGCAATGAAAATGCATAGAAGTCAATATGGAAGTGAAAGTTAAAGTGACATTAAAGGATAATTACATTGGGTAATTTCAGCACTCACCTTAAATGATGTCTCTTAATCCGATCTTCCTCTTCTTTCCTTATGTTTTCATCTGTCCCTCCAGTGGTGCAGCGGCTCTCCGATCCAGCGCTGACTCCACTCTGCTTGCAAGCACTTCCGATCCAGCGGTGTCTGCATGCGGGTGCACGCGTACATAGACTTATCTTGCATCTCGGCTTGTCTCCCGGCCAAGAATCCAAACTGTGCATACCCCCGCCCCAAGATGCTTTGCGGCCACCGGAGCAGTTTCGTTTTCTCGGACGGGAGCGCACAGCGAAAACAAGGTAAGTTTAAACTGCTGTTAAAGCATTTTTTTTGCCTATATCTACTGCATGATAGAAGTAGATATAGGCAAAAAAATGGAGGCTTTAGAACCCCTTTAAGGTGGTTTCAAAGGTGTAATGGGTTTTAATTTGCTCCTGACGGTTAAGTGTTTTTCGAGCCCCCTGGACATGTGCCAAAAACAGACCCTCATTAGCCTCATTAGCCTCAATATCTTCTTTTTTCAAGAAAGAAATAACCAGTTAGTGAAAAAAGTCTAAATAAAAATAAATAAAAATGAGAGTACACAAATAGCTATCATTACACAAAAAAGGGAAAAGCACGATAAAGGTCATCAATAAATAAACTAAACTACTCTAAAAATACTCCCTCAAAAACATATTATCTTTCAAGCAAATTTCACCTAAGCAGCTCAATGAGTGCAATTCAAAGATTTAGAGGGTTATTCACAAAAAGTAAGCTGTAGCTTTGGTTGATCCTTCGGCTCACTTAGGCCGCCGCTTTTCACAATAGCCCGTACAGCAGCCGAAGGCAGTCGAGTGGCTCAGCCGAAATGAACACCTATGCTTTGGCTTGGCTAAACTGTTGTGACACCTGGAGCGGGGAGAAAGGTCGGCCGAAGCCGACCGATCTCCCCCAGTGAAAGACAAAAGCTGGGTGGAGCCAGCCAAAATGTCACAACTGGCTCCCCCCAGTTGTTGTCCTTCAATGACAGCCCAGTGTCCGGGAGAGTCTGGTATGACTTTGGGGGGAACCCCACACACATTTTTTTTATTTTACATTGGGGTCTCCTAAAATTTCTACCAGACCTAAAGGGCCTGGTATGATTTTTGGGGGGAACCCCACACTTTTTTTCTTTTCTTTTTAAATTATTATTATTATTATACAGGATTTATATATTGCAGTTGGCACAGTGCTTTACAATATAAATGGGTCCCTCCTAACTTTCCTACCAGGCCTAAAGGGTCTGCTATGGTTTGGGAGGGGGCCCCACACTTTTTTTATTGCTTTCTTAACTTTTTTAATTTTTCTTTTTTTTTATTCATTCACTGTCGTTCGGCACCGTATGAGTGAGCTGCCAGAGCTTAGGCTCAGCTGATCCAGATGTTGGATCGGCTGAGTCGAACTACTTCTGCACTTTGGCACAGCCGAACATGCAGAGCATTTTCGGCTGACCAAAGGCAGCCTATGTATGGCTGATTTTAGCCGATGTACGGCTGAAATCAGCCGTACTGAGTTGAAGTGAATAGCCGAACGTCGTTCGGCTGTTCACTTTGGCTCTGTTATTCACTAGGCTGCCTTCAGCAGCTAAGTGAATAACCCGCTTTAGAGAAATTTGGTTGATGGCCAAATCAATAATTTTAAAGCAAAATCAATTTTGCCAAAATTATTCCGCTTATCCCACATGGCTCAACAGATCAGATTTTAACAAACTGTTGAAGCCCATGTTAAAAATGACTGTTGAACCTGATTAAAGAGTAGAAATGAAGTGGCATGAACTTTTATATGTGTATACACCAGAAAAGTTTGTTTTTTTGGTTGTTTTTTTTTTTTTAGATTTCCCACACTTGTTTACTGTATCAAGACTTTATTAATTTTCTTAACAAGAATAATTACATAGTTCCAGCTACACCCTTGAAGTGTCAACCAGTGTTGCCAACCACCAATTACTTATTTTTTATTAAGTAACTTGGAAATTTAAAAATGTACTGATGAAGCACACATTTCTGACAGCTTCAACGATCACAGAGTGCCTATAACAAAGTAATACAAAACAATCAATATTTAAAGTGTATGTTATTTTTGGATAGAATAGGGAAGGGTCACATTCCCTGCCAGGTTTGTACCATTGAGAAAATTTCTCTTCACTTTGTCCTAGTGATGCTAGAGAAAACCTCCTAAAGTAAGGTGAATTAGTCTTTGAGACAGTTGTCCCCAGGACAGATGTCCATATTGGAAGATGTCCCCTCACATTTTTTCCCCCTTACTTTCTACCTCAATGACAATGGTCACCAGTGTAATCAGAGAATGGCTAGTATTAATCGATAAAAAAACTAGGCGTTTACTCAATGCTCACTGTGCCGTGCGAGCAACACTCTGTGTTTTTACAGCAGAGAACAGGACTTGGAATAACACAGGAAAGCAATGTAGTAACTGTGGCCCTACCAGGGAAAAAGTATGTAATACATCTTTAAAGATGTAGTTCAGCTTTAAAAAGGAAAAGGAGGAAAAATACATTATATCCTCTACAAAACTTGACAAAGGAGTGTAGATGATATACAATGAGAGGAACAGTTCTCAGTGGGCTCAGTGAAATCCCAAATATTTCCCCTTAAAGGTCAAGTCCACCTTAGTGGCAAATTCTCCCTGCCATAATACTTGGTCCTGTTGGTGGTCATCTTGGAGTGCTAGATGTTAGTGCCCCCCTTGGGGTGTTTTACTTCATCTATTGCATTTTCCATAGTACAACAGAAGATGTCAGACATCCTCATCCCATACGTTATGTAAAACTGGTGAATAAGAGGAGAGTTTTGTTCTATTTCTAATAAAGACTTTTTAAAAATCATGTTGGTTTGGTGTTTATAGTCTTCTTGCATTAGGTGAACAGGTAAAGGGTACAAAACAATTCAGGTAGGCATAGGTAAGCAGGACATAACATCCCCCTCCTTTTCCCCAATACCGCTTTCTGGGCTATTACTGTTTATCCATCCCAACAGGACTGTTGACATTTACTATATATTCATTTTGGTGACTTCAGTGAATCTTGGAATTGTGTTCTCATTACTAGATCTGTATCATGTACTATGTTATTTAAGTAAAAAATGTGGCTCATGAAATAACACTGTGAAGATCTGACAAAAAGCCAATGTCTGCCTCAGTACAGCCGCAAGTTTTATTCTGAAAAGTTAAATTATTTTGCAGAGAATTATTCATCATTCTGCAGTGATAAAGACAACATTTTGTAGATAGATCATAAATTACTGGCTCTATTCAAAGATGCAAGAATAAATAAAACTTGACACATACTTTTTAATATCTCACTGGTAATAGGTTTGGATTAGTTTTAGACTTTGCTTGTACAGAGGAGGAAGGAAAACATTCAAAGTCATACAAAAATAGACTTACTTGATTTCAGTAGGGCTGCAAGTGCTCCAACGGCTGCCCTAAAGACAGTAAAAAGAGAATGAAATTCAGACTTCAGTCAATATTTCTCATTAGCGTCTAAAGCCACTTCACCTGTCACTGTCCTTCTAAATTGACAGCCTCTGAATCCTGCCTGTGACCTCAATGGACACTTAGTGAGATCACTGGATTTGCACATCCTTTATCAAAACAAACATGTTGAAGAATAAAGGGAACACTATATATTGAGTGGACCCTTTGAAGACATGACATTAAGTTTCCAGGAATTGTATATCAGAAGGCACATCATTTTAGCAAAACATGACCACAGGTTGACCTGAAGTCAATAATAATGCACTGTACATTAAATGTCTACAGACACTCAGAACTGGTAATTCAGTTTTGGAAAGATGCTGGTGGGTTGTTTTAAATAAGGAAATCTAACCCATGCAAGCCCAGATTTGGCCCCTGCCTTGGCTGTAATCTCCTTTGCTAAACACAAGGAATTACAACGGTGGTAGGCTACATGGAAATTCAGATTGCAACAAAAAATCTGCGCTTTTGGAAAGTAAACTAAAAGTTAAATAATGATCCTAAAGCTGCTATGAAAGGTGTAAAGTGAAAGTGTAAAGTGTTGTCACAGCGCTAAAGGTTTGAGATAAATATAAAAATATGTGAATATATATGGATCAAAACATGAGTGACAACCCTGTGTATAAGTCTTCAAAAAAACCTACCAATATGAATATAAAGTACCAAAAAACAGGTGTCCATAAAGGACTGAAAAAGTGCTGATGTGCAAACAATCAAAAGGAAAGCTACATTCCTCAATAAGATAAGTGAATAAATGTAACAGGATATCCTTTGTAGCTTTCCTTCTGATTGTTTGCACATCAGCACTTTTTCAGTCCTTTATGGACACCTGTTTTTTGGTACTTTATATTCATATTGGTAGGTTTTTTTGAAGACTTATACACAGGGTTGTCACTCATGTTTTGATCCATATATATTCACATATTTTTATATTTATCTCAAACCTTTAGCGCTGTGACAACACTTTACATGGAAATTCAGTGTACCACATTTGACTTACAGATTATCATTTGTAAAAACTATATTTATTAATATTCATAATATTTTATACAGCTATCAGTGCATGTTATTGGAAAGATCTTGGTATAATACATAAAGTTCCACTCTAGGGCACAACTGTAATGCCCATATGACAGTACTGTGTGCCTGACTTCCAAAAACTGACTTTGACTGATCATCCATCACAGCTGACTGAAAAGAAACATGAGAATCATGTTGATTAAACCAAAACAAAAAGAAATTCAAAAGAAAGAAACGAAAGATTAGGATTAAGGGACTGTAGGCCTCTCTAAGCAATATCTCCACTGAATCTCATGATATTTTGATGAAGATTAAAGCAATCAAGTGAAATCTACTTGATGTTTATCTCCAGTTTGTCTGTAATTCCCATTTTTTTAATTATACTGTACCTTAATAGTGCAATTTTTTTATATTAGATGTCTGTGAATTGGAAGAAGAGTGGGCGAATGATCTTAGCAAAGATGTCAGTGTACACTGGTGAATAGAAGGATTGAATGTAGGTCCAATCTAAAAAATGCCTGACTTTGAAGTGCATACTACACTACATGCACACAACTATGGATATATTTTTGCTTTTGGCAGCTTGGCACTTATAGTTGTCAGTGCAGGACTCTTAGTAATGAAGACTAGATAACCCTCTGCTTGCAAAAAAACAGTTAACTCTTAAAATATTAGTTTAATGCATTACCACCACTTGACGCATAACCCCTAACACTAGATTTTTTCAAGGCTAATAGGCAAGATATACAAGATATTGTTAAAAACAGGCATGGGTTGCTGGACGCTGTCAAGGGGACATGTACTAATGCAAAAAAAAACTATTTTAATATAATACCATTCAGCAGGAAAAGGGTATTTTAAAAGGGTAACATTAAAAATACACAAATCCTTTAAATAACATGCTTGGGAGATGCCTTAAAGCTTCATGCAGTGTTACACAATAGTACAATGCATCCCATTAAATGTGATATTATGGCATGGGGTTCCCCTAAAAATTCAAACCATTCCCTTATCCATGAATGCAACCTGGGTGGCCAGGAAAGTGAGGGTGGCAAGCTAGCAGGCCCCTCCTTCCAACACTACACCAGGCCACATGCCTTCTAATGTTGGGGGGAATTTTGCAAGGTGGGGCAGCAAAATCTTCCTTTGCAAGACATCGTGTGCCAAAGTTGAGCGGCAAGGACCTCTTCCGCACATCTGATGCCCAAAGAAGGATGTATGGGTTTGTGGGGTGGGACTGATATGAATCTGGATCTTTATAAAAAGGGGGCCCTCAGATATTCATCCCCTCCCAAGGAAATATGAACAGGGGTACCCCTTACCCATTCTCGAAAAGAGTTAAAAGAAAATAAAGACACCCATACCATGAAAAAGTAATTAATTGCAAAACAATTTAAATAATGTCCCTTTATGTAAATTTAGTGTTAGTCACCTTATGCAGCAATTTAAATCATCATGGTCTACTGCCTAACAATGTTTACCCACCACCATGTTCAACCCAAACCTGATTCTTATCACTACCAGTATGCCTGTGGTGGGCTATCTAATCATTAGGGATGACAACATCCTGATAATAAAATTAACAATAAGACCCAACTTTAGCAGCCAGATGAGCAATATAATTGCCCAGATGTCAGCCATTAAGGTGGCATTGATTAAAATTTCCATAAAACTGTATCCCAGTTATCATATTATATAAGGCTGCAATCCAGGAACCAACATTTTTTATAATATTCACCTTTTATTCAAACTATTTGGCCATCTTTAGTCATTTTACAGATATGAAAACCATTATAAATTGTTCACAACATGTCTGTGGAATTAACACACTTTTGCATGAAGTCACAATGAAATATGAAGCAACACAGAGCCTTAATGGCACTACATCTTGCTAAGCTTCTCAGATGTTTTGTACATTCAGAACGTATGTGCAAGCATATGAGTTTTTACAGCTAATCCAATAAACATTGCGCTAATTAAAATAAAATGTCTGAAGAAACTGAATTACAGGAGATGAGTGATAAGCACAGTTATATAAGGATGATATAATAAAAAGAGCTGGGCTAAATCTCATTTATTTGCACAATTCTGAATCCTGGTACTTGAGGTCATGTTACCATGGTTTCTGCATAAACACAGGCCTGCAGACCTACAGAGGCAGGGCTGCAGTTAACCATTTGCTTTGTACAGACACCAGCATGGTATCTATAACACAGGGGTGATTGCTGGCGCCAGCAGTAATGAAGGCATAAAGGCATTCACTGAAATTGAGCTTCTCAGGCCGGGAGCCAGAGTGGCCAGCACTCCATGTCATTTTGTGCCTTATTCATAGAATTAGGAGAGTTGTGCTCTTCCACACAGTGCACTTAATTTAATTAAAACATAATCTCTCCAAAAGCAGAGCTACATGTGTGACTTTGATATACTGCCAGCTGCTGTCTGACAACTTAGTGTCTGCAGCTATGGAAAAGAAGACAAATGGAGGAGATTGTTGGATGCATCCATACACACTTGTGCACACATAATTTAAAGGGATTTATTTTGCAGATACAGCAGATTTGTTTTTGAACATGGAATTCTGCAGCTTAAAATTCAGTCACAACATATTCCACATTACTGCACAATACCTCCTCTTCTGATAAAAAAAATTAGGCTTACTCATTGCCCTGGGTTATTTTGTTAAGTTAAGCATCAATAGTGGTAGTTGAGCTATACAGACATGAGGAGCCTCCAACCCAACCTGTAGTACATGGTTCAGTCACTTCGTATTCCACATTACATCACCATACCTCCCCTTCTGATAAAAAAAAATGTTAGGTTTATTCATTGCCCTGGATTATTTTATTAAATTAAGCATCAATAGTGATAGCTGAGCCCCATGTAGATGAGGAGTCAACAACCCTACCTGCAATGCCTGAGTTTATTTTATTGAAGTGACAATAAACTCAGAAGTTAAATCTTCAAAATGCATTCAAGTACCTTAACTATTAACAATAATGTATCTTATTTGTTTATCACTCGGCTGTAGATCCTCAAATCATCTCTGAATTCCTGCTGACGCTGTTTTTCCTTCTGGAGGGTGGCTACTTTTGTTCCCCATGGTCTCTGTGTGTATTGTAAAGTAGCCACCGCTCCATGCTCACTCCTGTGATAGACTGCAATCTCAAAACAAATTAGTAAATTAAACATCAGATTGTAGTCCATCACGAGAGTGAGCTTGGAGCGGTGCATACTTCACAACTCACAGGGACCATGGGGAACAAAAGAAGCCACCCTCCGGAAGGAAGGACAGTGTCAGCATGAAGTCAGAGATGATTTGGGGATCTACAGCTGAGTGATACACAAATAAGATACATGTTTGGTAATAGTTAGGGTACTTGAAAGGATTTTTAAGATCTAACTACTGAGATTAGTGTCACGTTAGGTTAAGCACCAATAGTGACAGCTGAGCCCCAGGAAGATGAGAAGCTTCCAAGCCAACCTGCAGAGTTTATTTTATTAAGTGAATGATATTAAAGACAAAAGATATTTAGGCTATTTGAAATGCTGATTAAATCTAATACAATGATGTTAGTCCTTTATGTTTAAAAGTTTTAGTTTCATGCAGAATCAGTTAATTCTCAAAGCAGTGGCCCTGATATCCCATTTTAGCTGTAAATACTACGGTGTACTTTTTTTCTTTTTATTATAGCAAGGGTGCAGGGTAGTCAGGATAGGGTGTGTGTTATCAACAGTTCAGTTTCAAGGTAGTACTAGTGAGAATGGCCACACATGTGTCTCCCCTAAGCATTTTGTACCCAAAATGTCCATTATAAATGTTAATAAACCAAGCATATACAGGTGAAACTCAAATAATTAGAATATCGTGCAAAGTTCATTTATTTCACTAATGCAACTTAAATGGTGAAACTAATATATGAGATGGACT